CCTCCAACACAGCCCAGACTCCACGGTGGGAAAGTCCCCCCACCTTCCCTCAAACCACTGGCAGATTCCCTGCTTCTGGAGACTGCCTTTTGTCTAGTAATGACAGGCTCACCCCCTCTTGTCCTGCTATTCGTGTACCTCCAAGGGGGCTCAGCGTAGAGGTCTCCCAGCCTTTTGGAATCTCAGTGTCCTGACCTCCGCCCACTGCAGCACCCATCACCTTGTGTTGTAACTGTTGGCTTGCCTGTGCTTCCTTCCCATCCCCACCCGGCGCTTCCTAAGGACAGGCGCTGTGTGTACACATCTCTGGACCCCCAAACCCAGCATGGAATCAATGTTAAGGAAATATTTGTTGAATGGCAAGGTAAGGAGCCAACTTGTAAGGAGTAGATGGAGGCGAAGGAAGAGGGCTCCTCCGCTTCTGTTCCCTCTTCTTTCCTCCCTAGCAGTCTTTTCTGGGGCGCACTGGGTGAGGCAGTTGCCACCATGGACACTGACCAGGTTACTCATGCTTTATGAGGAACCCGAAAAGCAGGCAAGCACAGCTTGGAGCAGAACTGGCCAGAAATCTATACCTCCCAGTGCTGGCATAGGGGGTGGGGGTGGGGGTTGGGTGGGTATGCCTTGGTCAGGGGTAACAGCAGCTTTGAGTCTTGGGAAACTGGGGCTCCTTATGGGCTATGGACTTGGAGGGAGGGCTTGTCTTCCCTGAGCTGCTTGGTGGGGAGTGCAGAAGAGGGTGGCCCCCATCTGGTGTAGGAACTTCAAAGGCAAGCTCATCTGAGCCTCCTAGACACTATTTGGAGCTCAGGCTCACTGTCCCACCCGCCTCCCTGAGACCCCAGAATGCCGGTCAGGGTCGGGAGGGAGGTTGGTGGTGGGAGGAGATGCTGTTTCCTACAAGGGAGAGGCAATACCTGCAATCATCCCAGGAGGGGCTCTCAGCTGACATCTTGGGACCAGACCATCTTGACGTCACCCACCTGCAGGCATCGTTATGCCCACTCAGGCCAGCCCTGCAGGCTGGGCCTCACACTCAGGCGTGGGACCTCTTCTGCAAAGGGTGTCCACTCTCTGGACTTCAGGAAGACAAGAAGCTACTCTGAGCAGCAGCCCTGCCCTGGGAGGACAGTTGCCTCCTCTAGGAAACCCATCCTCGCTGCCCAGACACTAGCCCTCTCTCTTCCTACCCTTTTGGGCCCAGCTTGGGAGCACCCTGGCTCATGCCTGCCCATGTTGGCTTGCTGAAACTACAGGCATGGTGACTGTTCAAATACAAAGATGTTTCCTCAACAAAGGCCTTGAAAATTCTTATTTGTGAATCACTTTGTTGACAAAGAAAACTCTGAGTTCACTAAATAACAACAGCTTGAATGGATAATAGAAATGTGGGTACAGATCTATTTTCTTATTGCTCTTAACTTGTCTCAAGGATGCTTTTGCAGTGGTGGCCCCACAGGCCGATACCCATGCAGGACGCTCACACCTTTGCAGAACCTGCTATGCCAGGAGGGTCCAGCTCCTTACGTGTGTTTTGGGGCCTCAGCACAAAGAGTAAGGAGTCCTCACACGTGTCTGGCTGCAGGGAGCCTCTTGCAGTCCCTGTGGCTGGAGGTGGCCCAGCCCAGGAGCCCCAGCATCAGTGTTCGTGTGAGTTGCGGGCTGGGCTGCAGAGCCAGTGCCTGCAGCGAAGTCCAGGAGCTGTAGCTCAAAGAGCTCTTCTGCCAAGCCTCGCCAGAGCAGGGGAGCAGCATGGACTCCCCACTAGAAAACCCCCAGACTGGGGTCCTGTGGTGGGTGGAGGAGGGCATTTGCAATGTACCTATCAGCTAAACCAGTGGTCGGCAAACTCATTAGTCAACAGAGCCAAATATCAACAGTACAACGATTGAAATTTCTTTTGAGAGCCAAATTTTTTAAACTTAAACTATATAAGTAGGTATATTGTTATTAACTTAATTAGGGTACTCCTAAGGCTTAGGAAGAGCCACACTCAAGGGGCCAAAGAGCCGCAGTTTGCCGACCACGGACCTAAACAAATGAGCAAGAGAGGAAGGAGAGAAAGATGACTTCAGCATGCAGAGCTGGGGGCCTGGAAGATGCAGGTGCCAAGCTTTGAAAGGAGAAA